CCAATAAACGAGATGACATGACCTTTCACCTGTGACCCGTCTCAAAAGGGTTAAAGCAATTTTTGAACTACTATTCATTTAGTGTGATAGCCATCTTCAGATACAACAATTTACGAGTAAGCCTTTCTTTTAGTTCTGAACTGTTGTATGGGAAAATGTATCGTATATGCAATATAGTAAGAAACCTGTAACAAGCTGAAAATACAATTAATACTGTTCTATCTTTTACTCCTTAAAATTTTCATGAGGCTACTAAAACTAATTAAATCAATTATTTGTTAAAAATAATTGTTCTTACATTTTCATGTGGTAGTAAAGATTCGTATCACAATGTGTTATAGATAACATATAATTCAGTGAAGAATTTACACTGATCCTAGAAAATGGACAGTACAACATTTAACATTTGGTGAGAAAACTTTTTTTTTGATGCAAGATGACCTCTTTCCAAAGATACATAATTTAGAGTTATTAAAATCATGGTAATATACAAAAAGTCTTTAAACACAGACATTTTGAAAATTTTTAATTCCATCAGCTTGAAAATCTTCATAAGTATAAAAATCATTATAATATTTTAAGTGAGACAATATCGATATGGGAGAAACTTAGAAAAAAACACACTAGAATGATTAATCTCTATAGTTTACTATATAGTTTGTAAGAAACTGTAGAAACATACATGCATGCTGAGAAATCAAATAACTTAAACTTGCAGTACTAGACAATGTTTAACTGGCATGTGATGACATACAGACATTTGTTTTCCATTTTTAGTACTTCCTGTCTAGCTAACTTGGCATGGCCTGGTGGTTAGAGAATTTGACTCGCAATCTGTGGGTTGCAGATTCAAATCTCTTCACTGAACATGCTTTCACTTTCAGCCATGGAGGCATTATAATGTAAAGGTAAATCCCACTTTTCATTCTTAAAGAGTAGCTCAATAGGTTGGCAGTGAGTAGTGTTAACTGACTGCCTTCCCTCTAGTCTATCACTTCAAAATTAGGGATGGCTAGTACAGATAGCCCTTGAGTAGTTTTATACAAAATTCAACAAACCTATCTAGCTAGAGCTAGTCTTAATTACAGAGGAATCCTGTTCATGTAAATAGGTTAATGATTTAATGCTGTTACGTATAATTAGACTGTTATTAGTCAGTGTCTATTAAAATTTAAAAAAACTTCAATAACCAATTTATTCAGCAAGCAAAATTGTTTTTGAGCAAATAAAGAATATTAACTTCCCATAACTGTTTTGTATTAAAGCAATCTTACTCTACGTAAAACTTGTTACATGTGTAGCTTGTAACAATTAAGCAATATATTATTTAATATTAATTTTGTATCAGAGCTAGCTGTGTACTTAGAAAGAATCTAAAAATCATAACATTTAAGGACAAGGGACTTGTTGGTCCATCTAGGCTCTCCCGTCCACTAAACTAAACTATTCAAAAAACACCTAAAAGTCAGCCCTTATCATTCAAATATTAATCAAGCCTTCCCAAAAATTTACTACTTTGATTTGGTAATGAACATACCTAATTAAGTATATTTTTTTTATGTTCTCACTTATAAAGATTGGAAAGCATTGTTTCATCAGTTGGGAACCTTTGCTGTTAACAGTAATTTTGGTCTAAGCCCAATAATATCTCATGAGGTTCAGTCAGCCAAGGAGATCTAGGTTAGTCCTAGATCCATATAATAAGCCAAGAATGCAAAAACAATATCTATAACAAAAGTTTACTAACAGTAAAAATTTAACATTATATATATTAAACATTCTAATCAATAAAAGTAAAAATAGAGAAATAATAGAGTATTCGTTATTTATGGAACAGTGAAAGGGACACTATTGTTCAGTCCAAATAAGATATACACAATAGGCATCATGGCTAATTATGTAATCAGTCACTGTGAGGCCACACAATCACATTTGTGAGGTTTACAGCTAGGAAATTAGTGGAATATAATTTTTCTCACATGAGGTTTGGGTAATTGGAATAATCAAAAATAGTCATTATTGAAAACACTAATTTTGATTAGTTGATTATTTTCATAAGTATTGACATTAATTGATTAAGTTAAACAAACTTATATTAATTAAATATAATAAATTGTAATGGCATTTTTTAATTACTTGGATAGTGAAAAATAGAAATAATGTGCATTGTTTTGTTTGCAATATCAAAAATATGTCTGTATATATATTTGAGCATTTTAATTGCAAGATAATTTTTATTTGATTCCTAGTTTTTGTAATTAAAGTACTACATTTTATATATTTTTTTTTACAATTAAAATGTTATTTTTTATGTGTTTGATACATATCTGTAGGGTAGATCGGGACTGAACCATGTTGTGTTGCCAGTACTTAATGTTTTGAGGAAAGATTTCAACCTTCGAACAGAAGTTAATTATTTTCTAAAGGATGCTAATATTTCACCTGATCTTTTGATCTTCAAGGATGAAATTGATTTAGAAGTAAGTGGTACTTTGTACGTTTGAAATACATAAACATCTGTCTTTCGTGCCGGACATTCTTCAGTACTTTCAAGTATATGTAGTTTAACATTCGTATGTTCTTATGTAATTTTAAGTTGGTCAAAATCAATTGATTAAGAATCTTTAAATGTTTTTATGTGTTGTGAAATAAATATAATTTGAGTTGGAAGGTAATTCTTATAAAATGTTTGTGTGTAAGCAGGGAAAGAAGTAAAATGTGCAAATTGTTTGAGATTTTTTGTTTTTTTTCATGTACGTGTATGCAGTAGTTTGGTGTTACTTTTACTAATGATCGTTTTCAGCGTGTACATGTATCTATCAACCTCAATGATAGGATTTTATCATTCTTGTCAGATTGCATTATGACCTACATGTACTGATGAAATATACATTGAATAGGTTTGTACCGAAATTTTGAGTGCTTTGCTTTTCCCTCCCTGCAAATCCATTATTTTAAAACTATATATTTTTCATTTCTTTCTAAAATATTTAGTTCAGTTTAAAATTCTCTTTAGTAACACTTAAATGTTTTTGTAAGTATTGCCAGTTTTTTAACTTGACAAATTTGTATTTATAGCATTTATCAAAGCTCTCGTATGGAAGATTACATATAGATCAAATGGATAAATTGTAACCTTCTAGCAGTGATGTTGGTTTTGCTAGGAAACATTCATTAGTGATCAGCACCTCCACATTTTGACTAGTATACTTTCACATTTGCACCAAGCTACATAGATCAGTCTGAGAAGGAGGGACTACTGTGTGTAAGATTTTATATCTCAAAAAAAAAAGGTTCACAGCAATTTCCTGTAACACATTTTGACTAGTATACTTTCACATTTGCACCAAACTGCATAGATCAGTCTGAGAAGGAGGGACTACTGTGTGTAAGATTCTATATCTCCAAAAGAAAAGGTTCTTGGCAATTTCGTCTAACACGTTTATATTTATTGCCGATTAGTACATTGGGGATTTTCATGGGCGTTCTTTCAGCAGTAAGCTATTGTTGAAACCTGTATATTCAGACAGTGACATGAAGTTTAGGATACCTTTTATTCTACCATTGAATAAAAGAAGGGTCAAGGTATTGTATCATCCAGCTGCTTTATTAAGATCCTCAGGTTACTATTTGCAGCTATATTGATAGTGTGGCTCATGTATGGTGGCGATGTAAAAAATGAGCACTGTAACGAGGATTTCATTTAATGGGCACCGAAAACTCAATGTTTTTATTCAACTGAACCTGTTTTGAATTTCTTTATCAAGAGATGATGCTGTACTTATTTTTTTTTTTAAATTGTGTTTAATATATATTTAAACCCTTTCATTTCTCATCCTATATTCTTCCTTTTTTTGTTCTCTCTTTTCATGGACAAATTTAACTGATAAGATTTGTTACTTTTTGCCAAGGTGGGATCCAAGTTAGCATGATTTGATATTGCCAAGTTGCTCTCTTTGTTGAGGCATATACAAGTGAATAAGAAGAGTGATTCAAGAGTCGCAAAGATGACTAGAAATTCATTCTGTGATATGTGTGTACATATAAATATTTCTAAACTCACAACTGTTTAGCACAGAACAATAAGAATATTGTTTTACATGTAAATGTACTATAACACAAATTGAAATGAAGATAGAGTATGAGTAGTAATTTGAAGAAAAGAAAATGTGAACCTAAACTTTTTTTGTCATATTTCAAATTACTTTTACAAGATCTGCAGATAAAAATGTTTTATTATGATATAATAATTGTGTAATCACGGCCCACAAAAAAAGAAATTTGTAAATATGACCAGTGCACAGTGTAAAATTGTGTGTTGAAAGCGTATAATAATTAAATTGCATAATTTGATATATCAATATTTTAAATGGTGCTACTTGTCAAACTGTAATTTTATTTTGATGGTAACATTAATTTTGTATGTGCCCCCCAGTGGCACAGCGGTATGTCTGCGGACTTACTTACAACGCTAGAAACCGGGTTTCGATACCTGTGGTGGGCAAAGCACAGATAGCCCTTTGTTTAGCTTTGTGCTTAACTACAAACAAACAATTTTGTATGTTTGTGTATATATGATTTTAGTGCATTATTAGGAAAATAAATGTCATATTCATTAAATTTGTTTAACATAAACCATCATAAACATGCACAAACCTTTAGGGTTTATGGTTATTGTATATTGTCAGTAATGTGTATGACATCTTTATGTCTTTGACATACCATCAATTTTCTTCCTGGCATGCTATCAATTTGTTTCTTTTTTTGAGAGTTTCATCTTCAAAGTAATTATTGCACATCAGCTACCCTTATTCTCCAGATTCATTTAGTCAGGGGCAAATATTTTATCTTGCAGTCTTCCTTAGTTACAGTACTCATAGATGTAGTTTCTATTACCATGAGATTACTTATGTTCCTTTGACACCTCAGTAGACCACATCTATGTTTATTTATTCTTTTGGACTCTATTAAGTGGCCAAATATGGACAAAAGCAAGTGGGTTCTTTTTTACCCAGTTGATGACTTTCTATCAGTTACTTACAAAGTAAAAAAAGTCAAAATAATTTATCATAGTTCTTTCCAGGTTTTTCTCTCATCTCCTTGTGATTCTGAGTTAATCAGATGAGTTGAGACCTGTTTTGATATCTTTTCCTAGAAACACCTCATTTTCAAAGGAAAATTCTATTGAGTGGTCTTCTCCATTCACTTGACATTGACTTTGCTTTTTACATGGACAGTTGATTTATTTTGATACTTTTGTCAATTTAGTCTCTTATACACATTTGTTTCACCACCCAACAGTCTACATATTTTGGGTATATCACCCAGAACTCCAACTTTCATTTAGTACCAACAGTATTTGGTATGTCTGGGGATCTGGATCAACAGAGTTCAAGGAACACTTCTTCCATCTCCTATGGCTTTGCAAGCCTTGGAGTCTTTGTGATGATGACTTCCCTTCACATGGTCATTCTTTTTGGTGCACTCATATGTAAAACCTCCAATGGGGCCTTGCTTCTCAGTGATGTTGGACTTCAGACTTATTGTCACAAAGTATACCCATTTCTTCCATCACTTGTGTTTCTACAGTTTTGGTTGTACAGATAGTTTATGTCAAAAGGATCTCTATTTATTGCTCTTTTTTGGTTGAATTGCTGTGTTAGGGAACTTGCATCATTCTAGTTTGGAGTCCTCTGGAAGATTCAACTCGCACCAAGATGCTCAAACTTAGGGCTCTCTAGCATGCTTTTCTTGAGTTTCTGACCGTTCAGTACTGCCATTCTTTGTTAGTCCACTCAGATAATTCTAAAATGGTAGAATACTTCAAAAATTAGGGTAGTACTCATTCTCACAGCCTTTGTTTTGCTTAGTTTCTCTGCTTTTTTTTGCCAGACTTTCTTTTCCGGGTAATTGTCCAATCTTCACCCTTTGGTTTTTAGTGGCTGTATGAACATCTGGGTCTTTATTGATCTGCAGTTTCACATCCAAATTTCCAAATTCTCTGGCTGTGAATGCTCTAAGTAAATTTTGGGAGAACCTCTTTTTCTATATATACCATCATCTCCTCCCCTACTTTGTGTGCTTGCCTAAATCTGTTTGGAGTTCTGGATTCTCCACATCATTCCACGTTGTTCAGCTCATCTGTGGTTTAAACTATTACATCAACTTCCTCAAAGAGAACTGGTCCCATTACTAATTCAGAAACATCTTTTACAACCTCAAAATTCTTTTTTTTTTTCACTTTGACATATCAATGTCTACAACTTCTTAGCTGGCTCTTGTTAGATCCTCTGTCTGAGAAGTTGAATTTTATTCTAGAATGGCTCAGTTATCAGCACATACTTGCTGACAACTTGAACAACACACTTTATTCCCTCACATCACATTGGGCTACCTTTTGGAGTTAGTGTATTAGATGCAATATTTCTTGTTATCTCCAACTTCTCAACATGTTTCTTCTTTCTCAATGTTTTTGTTTCATGACTGTAGCTTATTAGCTTTTTCCAGAGCTGATTGCTGTGCTACTTTATCTGCCATGTTAAGATACCACAGAAGTTATCAATCTTTTCTTGTTCCCATTGTTCAAGGATCACTTCTGAGCTCATCATTTTCATTGATCTCAAGTACTTAGATGATCACTTCTTCTAATCGTATTCTTAACTCTTTCAGCATGGGCTCGGTCCCTAGGACAGATCTCGTAACCATTTTGTGCTTGTTATGGTTTCATGCTATAACTTTTAAATTAGTAAGCATATGTTCACAGAATTTGGCAGATTATCAGTAAACATTTCAAAGCAAATATCAGTTTTTTTTATTAAGTCTTAAGGTTTGTTAAGCAATGTTTTTTCTCATGCCTTTTTCTTTTTGTATGTTGCTTATACAACATGCAAAGTAATTTTAATTTTAAGATTAAAAATACTTTTATGCATCAGAAAATTTTCAAAATTCATATGCAAAATCTTTATAATGTTCAGATAGTTATCACACATTTCTTAAGAAAAAACTATTTCCATTGAAAGAACGAGGTGAGGTCACCCAGAAACACCACCACCAAGAAAGTAAAATCTGAGAAGTGACAATATCCTAAGTAACTGTGTGTTTGAGGTAATTCACAAATATCTTGCTTTTCTATAAAAAACAAAAAAAAAGCATGGATTATGAGTTCATAAACTGCTCCCCATATATATTGGAGAGAAAAAGACAAACTGTGATAACTATACAGAAACACCTTACAAGTGAAAATGGATATGAGTTGCTCAAATGTATTTGAATGCCTGTAACAAGAAATGAAATTGAAGTATTTCCTACTGACCAGAAGGTCATAATAACTTTCCAACATGGTAAAGAGAATATGAAGAAAAGAGTTTAATTGGGTTTAATGGTTTTTGCAAGTTTTTTGTATAATAGTGTACAGTAAAGTAAGATGAAACATAGATAAGTATATCCATATGGAGAAAATGTATTGACATCAATTATGTGAGATGAAATTCATGCGTTATTTGGCTGGCATGTCAAGAAGTTATAGCTCCATCAGTTCACGTGTCTAAGTTCACAGCAGCATTTCTACAAACCATGGAGAATGAAAATGACGTTCGTGCTATCCATTTCTCTAATATACATACAAAGCCATCTGAATGTGCACTGATGAACCTCTGTGCATTTGTTGTTTTGCTTAAATGTAGTCTTAGATGTTGATCTTTACATGCATTAGAGGGTCTGTGAAAATATGGGGTCTAAGATTGATCATACTGCTTTTGCAGAAGTTTGTTTCAATAAAATTGAGGTATTGATCAACAGGGCATAATCATAGCACTCAGATTAAGCAGATTTGATGATGAAAGAAATAGAAATAGTTCCAATGACAGCACAGTACAGGGAACATTTTTCTTATAAAGTGCAGTTAACCTCCCATAGTACATAGTGAATTGAGTTCATAATTGTTCATTTTAGCATTGTGCAGAAAATTATGCATTGGTTGTTATTTTATGATTAGATATTTGAGGTCATGTATTTCACCTATTATGTGTTCCATATTTTAGTTTATACGTTTGTAAATTTTTTTCTGTTTTGATTGTATTGTACAGAAGCTCAAAAAAGACAACAAATTGTTCTTGATATTGGTGGATCACAACGTCTTGAGCCTTGAGCAGCAGCTACTAGAAGATTCAGTTGTACGGGTCATAGATCATCACAAACCCGAGTCCAAGGACAGAGGAGAGAGGTTTGTTCTACATAAAGAACTTTTGAAAAAATAATTTTCCCTCATAATTCTTACTTTTATGTAAAAAAAAACTGATCTCTACTTTATACAAAATTTCTGTATCACAGTGTTTTCACACTTTTATGACTGGTGTGTACACCATTCAGGTGTCGAGTGAACACCTGCATATCAAATTTCTAAATTAACGTAAAAGTAATAATTTCAATATTTTAACTCAAAAATTAACTTTATATTTTGTAACATTTAATATAATTTGCAAAAAAAATCAAACTTTCATCTTTGAGCAGTCTCATCTACAAACAATGCAATTATCTACAAACAATGCAATTATCAACAAACAGTGCAATTATCAATTTTTAAACATTTTTCTGCTCATTTCAAAGCACAAGTTTATCATTTGTAGAGAACATAATTATCCATGTTCTGTTTTTCACATAATGTCCCTTCTGTTTATCTGCTTTTATTATTACAGGCCTCTATTCACACTTGTTTCTGATTTCACAACATATGAACTGAACAACTCCTAATAAAGCTGAGGTTTTAAAAATAGTTACAGGCAAAGTTTAAACAGTATTGGTTAGAGCAAGGTATACGCTACTTATGTCAATGTACAGTGAATAAGTGATGTGAGAAGTAATTTATGGCCTTGTGACATGCTCAAAAGAACAATATAGTAGTGATCTTTGATAGGTTGTTTAGGCAGAGTATTCATAATGAATCTAAGTTTCAAATGGACAGCAACTGCCTGTTGTAGAA